TTGCAAGTCAGAGCAATGATTGCTTTTGGGTTGAAAAAATAAAACATGAGAGGAAATTAGGCAAAAGCTAATCAATGGCCAAATTGTGAAACCATATACATCTCCATTTGTGACATTGCAGGCTTCCTGTCATATTTAATTTTCTCTCTAGAGAATTAGTCAGCGTAATTTCTTGGAGGCTTTCCTCGATTTTTCTTCTCTCCGAGCAGAATAATTTGTATGGATTTCAAGCTGTAAAGTTGGCTTGTTTCTCTTTAAAAAAAAATAAATAAATAAATAAAACGGGAGTAGAAATATGGAGATGTGGTTTCAGACTTCGGCCATCGTAATGTAGTTAGGTTGATTCTCAATAAATTTATCCAATTATTCACATGCCAGTCATCTAAAACCTTTTTTGAGTCCTCTCAGCAAGGGAAAATGACAAACAAAATGATTTTAAGAAAAATCGTCCGACAACAGGTGATGTTTTGCGGCACTGGAATGTTATTAGTGAATACGTAGAGGGGTTTTGCTGCTGGTTATAAAGGAGAGTAATGGGGCACAGATCCTTAAGATGCATTTTTTTCTTGGATAAAATGTAATTTAGCTGCTGCGTTGGCCGAGCAGAAATATATTCCTACTCCTTTCAAAGGTCGTAAAGTTGAAGAGACATCTAATTTGAGTGGTATGATTCAGCAGACTGAGTATACAAATTGAAATAAATCTAAAAATGACAATTCGAACTCTTACAATGGCCATACTTCCATTTTAGTTGACTGTGTGGAGAGGATCTTTGACAGCTATTATTAAAAATTCAACAAATAATCAATCATTATATCAACTGCAACGGCAAGCTAAGAAGTTCTCAATGACTGAAAAATAGTATGAAAGAACAGAGGAATCCACTGATGCAGGATACAACAAAAAATACACTTTTTTACTAAAAGCAGGCGGGATCTGTCGGAGAATTCAATCCTGAAGAGACAAGAAGAGGTGTGAGGAAAATTTTTGCAAGATCTTCCTCTTAATTTCCTGTATGTATTCAGAAATGAAATGGTAAGCATTCCTTTTAAGGTGGGTTTCCGGTTTTTAAAAAAAGGGTATTTCTAGTTTTCCATTTCATATCATTTTTATGTCCCATAAAAAAGAACAAGAAACATACTCTTTGCACACAGACACAAAGACAAATGCATGTAATGCTGGGTTGGTGTTTCCTCTCTATCTCTTTCCTTGTTTTCCTCAGCCTTTAATTAGTAGATGTCTCCTGTTATCCCGGGGAAGTAATGAACTAAAAGATAGGGTATAAAATTGATACTTAATTCATCCAAATTTTAAACACAGCACTGTAGACACATAAAAAATGCCCAGATTCCTCTCATAAATAAGAAAAAAAAAAACATTTCTGTAAACATCAATTCAAACTTAACAAAAAAACCAAAGTCTTCTGGCGTCACTCAAGCAGTTGCAACCAACTAACTTCTGTGCTCTTTACAATGGAATAATTATTTCTGCTCACTGAATTCTTCTCAAAATGTTATAATGTTTTGCAAATTAAAGGAAGCAAAACAATTTTTTTTTAAAAATCAAACACTGATTATTTGCTCGATAGATATAAGATTGTATTCGATACCCAATTTGACCTGCGTTGATTTTGGTTTTTTCATGAGAGATAGGTTTGAATTCACTAATTCTAATATGGTTGAGAAACATTATCTTCTCATTAATGAATTAATTTTAGAGGTTTCCAATTTGCTCAACTCGTTTCACAAGGAACCTTCATAATGAAATATTTCTTGAGGAAGTTTCATTCTCAAAATGTCTGATAGTCTAATGGTCTCTTAGCGACCCAATGGCAAGCCTGGGGAATAGGGCAAGAATTTTAAATCGTTTTGGTAAGTTTCCGTGGACTTTCTAGGTCAGTTCAGGATTAAATTAACCAATAGTAACTATGATTTAAACAGGTTTCTAAACATACAAAATTCAGATGAAAATAAGGAAAAACATAGAATGACAATGATATTATTTACGCCATGAGAAAGAATAATTATGCTGGAACAAAAAAAAATATCCATTTCACTTGTGATGCTGTAAATTTTCTATCACAATTTATATTCATGATGAAGCAGAACAGAATTTTAACTCCTCATAGCTTCAGTTAATTTTTACTCACTTTGCCAAAAGTATTCTTAAAAGTTTCTGGATGATATTGTTCAACTTTCTTTTAAAACATAAAATGACCATGAGAGTTATTTTGTAGCCCTACACATGTGATACTCTTTCTTTCAATTTCATAATTGATACTGTAACTTACTTAGAAAAAAAGAGAACTCCGATGGCTAGATGCGAGATTTTTTGACTCAGCTTTGCCTATATAAAGGAGGCTGTAGCTAGTCCATGTTTGTGTCAATAAAGGAGTGGATTTTTGCCATACACAAGATGATCCTTTAAAAAAGCTACCAAACAGAGACGAACACGCACTGTGCACTTAACTAAATGTTGAATGGTAGCCAAATTTCAATAGCTCATCACAAAAGACTGGCTACAGTTTCCCCTTTCCTGAAGCCACATTCTTGAAAACCCAGAATTTTAAGCTGGGAGCAAAAAGAATAATTTATGAGAAACTGAAGGAAAGAAATACATTTTGCTTAAAAATATACAGAGGAGGATTTTAACAAAGACTCAACACAGCATGAGTCTCTTTTGCCAATGAGAGAAAATTTTCTCTCTTAATAAATGACAGCAAATCCCAATGATTTGACTTTACATTATTTGGACGAATCTAATTACAATAGAGAAAGATATAGGTAAATAATTCAATTCGTGAAGTAGTGCAGATTTTTCATTTGAAAACGTATTTCGTTTTTTAATTGGTGTTATAGTAGAGGCATGTGCAACGTACCCATATACTTAAACTAAATTAAAAAGAGGTGAAAAAGCGATTTGTTTCCTTTAGATTTTGGTAAAAAAACATTTATCAATTCGCATCTACAGAAATACTGAAAATTTTATTCAGTATTTTTGATAGAAAATTGCACTACGTACAGCTCAAGCTGAGATTTTGTTTCGAGTTAGAATCAAGAGTCTCACACTCAGTAAATACATGAAAAATTGAAGTTTACAGATAGAAAAAGTGTAGAAAATTAATGAAAACAGGATAGAATTACTTAACAGTTCTAATGGTGATTATAAAATAAAGATTAAAAAAGAAGAGCATGAAAACTGTAATCGGTAATTATCACAGCTGATAAAAAGTTACATGAATTTCTTAAAAATGATTAATGACCGACAGTCGAAACAGATGTATAAAATACATTCTAAACGCTAAAACATTTAGGTAACATATGATATATAATATAAAAATAACAAAATATTCAGATCTAGAACACATAATTGGAACACAAAATAAAGCAACTTAGATTATGAAAAAGCTAGCGTTACCAATACTTGCAATAGTTGAAAAAAGCATTAAGAAAGGCTGAATGTCATTAAATTTCTGGCTGGATTGCTGATCAATGCATCACTAGACAAGATATGAATTTTAGCATTTATATTTATGCAGCATTTTCAAAATTTCTGGTAGAGTACGATTTGCACATCGAAAATTACTGAAATAAACAAAAGCTTTTGCTTGGATTTTCTTTTTTCTTAAAAACAAAAACAAGAAAAAACATGAGTGACGGCTCACAATGTTGCAATCTGACATAAAAATTTTTCAACTTTAGCCATCAATGTGCAAGTTCTATCAAAGTCGACTAAAAGAATATTTCCACAAGAGGTTTGTCATGTCCTTTCTTTCAAAATCAAATGCCTATTCGAAGTTTATCTCAGTGACAGAATTTCAAGAGAATTCAAACTGGCAGCAAATATTGGTCACACTAACAAGCCTTAGTAAGCAATGCTGAAAACAGGAAAATGACATAGACTCTGAATAAACCAAGTGATCTGAATACTGACACTTACAAGGAGACATTTATATCAATAGGTTCATCGGCTAAGACAACAGAACTGTACTTTACAGTACAACTACAATACCTAAGACTTTGTCAAGATACATTCTTAAAATTAGGTACACTGATTGGAAGAATTAATAATAAACATCAAAAAGAGGGAAAATGGGTTGTTCTTCTTAATAACTGACTATCAATTGGCTATTCATGAACAATATAAATCTATTCCATATTTAGACGTTGGGTCAAAACTGGTGGGTTTCACTTGGCTTAGCATTTCAAGATAGATGGTGCTAGGGTGAAGACAAGGTCATGGATGCTTCCATGAGAGAGTCTTGTGGCTACAAGTTATTAATGTCTAAAAAGACCTCTTTATTCTTAAATGAAAAGATGCAGATATTAGGTTGGTAACAGTGACACTGTGACAGGCTTCCATTCAAGTATCAGAAACAAAGAAAACTCTAATTTAGAAAAATGATTAAACTGGAGTTTTTGTACATAACTTTAAAACTTGAATGAACAGATTTTTTCCTAAAAGCATTATGAGATTTTCAACTTGTTTCGTTCGATTAGTATACAACCTGCACTTTAGAATAGCCAAGGTAGAGATAGTAACTGTGATGATTAATAAATAATAAATATGATAAATAATTGAAAATTATAATGATAGAAGTGATACGGTTATAAACGATGAAAAAGTTTAATGAACATCATGATCGACAGATGTAAAAGATCTGAAATTATTTGGTGATAAAATTCCTCCGAATAAAAAAATTATAAAAGGCAAAACCAAATCAAAATTTAAAAAAAGAGGAAATTACACAAGCCAAGTAATTTATAATTAGAGAATAAATAATATAGATATTTACAATGAAGTAGAAAAAAATTCTCTTTGAGAGAGATTCAATTGGCTAGATACTTTGAAATAGTTTAATTGACTTTGCTGTTTGCAATCATTTTGTCACGATTTATATAAAAACATTATCATGCAAAACTTATGCAATCAAAAATTACGATTGTTCATCATACACGAAAAATACCCTAAAATAATCCTTTTGGATGGGACTAGTATGAAATTAATTTTACTTTTGATAGTCTTTGTGCGCCAAGTTTGACATGACTCCGAGAAAATAAAAAATCTATCGAATTGGATACATAATGAGTCAAGCTGCAAAGATCATCACGAATGGATCACAAGACAAGGTACAAATTTAAGCATTCTGATACATGTTTCGCCTCCAAAATTTCTTGTAGAACACAATTTGCATAACGAAAATTACTGACATGAACTTCTAACCAAGTTAGTACCGTTTTCATTCAACATTGGTTACGAAAAATTTGAATTTTCCATCCACAAGAAGAACCAGAGTCTACTTGAATCAAATCGCGTACTAAAATAGTTTAGGCAGGCTTCTCAATGAGCTGTGTTCCTTCACTGCCTTGTGTTGTCCAAAGTGTAAACAACATGCAATAACTGAGCCAAAGTGCTGGGATTGAGGTTGTCATATTTTCAGATTGCTAAGACTGTTGCAGTAACATTTATTAAAGTGTGATTTAACTAAAAAGAGTAATGGTTTATTTCATGAGCAGGAAGTTGGAATTCATGCTTCGAAAAACGGTAACATCTTGGTTAGGAGATACTTTCAGTAATTTTCGGTAAAAATCGTGTTCCACAAGAAATTTTGATGAAAAAATGCTTGAGTTCTCACCTTGTCTGGTGGTCCATCATTGGTAAAAAGGTGAATGAGTAAAATAATTAAGAATTTCTTTTGGTGACAGGTACCGTAAGAGAGAGATTTGAGTCAATAGTTCTGGGGTTGAATTTACAATGGAGAGGGGGGGGGGATCACTTTCAGTAAAATAGAATTTCAAAATTACTAAATATAACAACTGCAAACTACATTCGCAAAATCATGTACATCATCTAGCTACTTCAAACAAGTCATTTTCTTGTTTTGTTTGTTATTAAATGCATAAGTGGAATGCATACTTATTTCAAAATTTTATCAGACTAAAAACATATTTCGGACACCTGAAAGAACCTACACATCATAAAGTTTCATCCAATTAAACATTATTGAACGTCCCTGCAAATCTGAGTTGTCAAATTCTAGATAAAAAGTTTAATGGGCCCCTCTATTTTCTCTTGAACTCTCAATATGTTGCATTGTAGATTCAGGTGCCACTGAATAATGAAAAAGAAGTTTCAGGCTAAAAAAGTTCAACGAATGGAAGAGAATGCAATTTTCTCTCATTACTGTTGAACTTTTAAAATGTGTGGTTAATGTGGCTGGATCAAAATTTTAAAAAAAAATAAATGCAATAAGCCAGGTAAAATAATAATATTTTGAGAATGTGAGAGGAAGCACGAATAAAACCAGAATCCATGAAAGCAATAACTAGCAGAAAATTGAGTGTAAAAACTAAAAGGCCTATCGCTGTGGCACAACAGAGAGCTGGATTCTACCATGGGGCATGACGAAATAGAACACAAAAAGAAGTACTGTGTAGGGCTTAAAATATTAATCCAGAGAAAATAATAAAAAAATGATGCGCGTTTGAAAAAAAGTAAAGATAGTTGACGGATATAACGCTCTGTACCACTACTACAATGATCTTTGATTTTTCAACAGACGAGGACTTGAAAATTGACAAAGAAGACTTTAGAGGCATTTGAACCATGAAAGAGATATTTTAGGTGCGAAGATAATTATTCTTTACTTTACTCGCCCCACACCCCATTTTTCCATACAAAAAGGAATTTTAAAAAACTAAATTTAGAGACCATTGATTAAAGAATGCTCCAGTTAGTCCAGCTTACTCAGAGAGCATTTATGTCAATTTTTTACATTCCCCCGGAAGTGTTTTCAAACAATGATCGTAACAATTCATTTCCATTCCTTTGATTGCTTTTCTAATAAAGAATTTAGTCGTCAACTTGAAATATTTTAATTTACGTCATAACTCCAACAATTATTTGGATTAAGATTACCTGAATAAGCTATAAACGATTGGATTCTACAAGAAAGAACTCAATTATAGAGCTGATTTTTGAAATACAAATTTTTACTGAGATGTGTTAAATGAAAGTTGGCCCTGCTTTTATTCTAGACGAGCTATCTTCATTTTCTATGGAAATTAGATTATTTCTTTTCTGTAGAATTCCATTTAACAGATCAACAAAAGTATGGTAAAAATTTTTTAGAACATTGGTTCTGATATAGGATGAATACAGAAGCGAATAAAATACTAGAAGAGATGGGTTGGCGAAAAAAAAGGTGAGTTGTGATTTTAAATTCGAGGTTTATAGGAAAGATTTACCAATAGTTTTTGGCCTGTTGAATCTAGAGACTCACTGGAGGTACAGTCTTGTGAATCAGCTGCATTAGATGGCTGTCTTGAAACGGCTTTTTTGGTGTCCGTACCGTTCTCTTTGTCATATAAAGTTCCACGACTGTAATGTGTTCTACTTGAAGTTCTACGGATGCTGGGCCTCTTGCTCACAGATTCAGCGCTTGCACTCAGTCCTAGTAAAAAAAAATGATTAAATTATTTTAAAGACCACACTCTTACTCTTTACATTCAATAGAGTAATGATTTTAGAGTATGCTGCCGTGCTAAACAAGAACGCCTTAAACCCATCAAGATTTTCCCTCGTTTTTTGGAACTTAACACTTTATACAATATAAACTGTTTTACCCATGTGCCTCAAATTTTCAAGTTAAGTTCTTGACAGTATTTGCGAAAGAATTCTGTAAAAACATTGTCCCAAGTTACACAAGTTTTTATTGTTTCCAAAAAATGTAAAATGGCGGTTACAGCGTTTTTGCGTTGCACGGCAGTATGATGTACTTTGGTTTTTCTTGCAAATTATTAGTGCTGAAAGAAACCTTAGTATACTCTGATTAGTGCTGACTGCAACTTCTGCAACAGGAGAGCAGTTCTGTGAATGAGTTGATTGTCTGGTTGTCTCAAAATTGAACTCGATCAATGTTTCATGTTTTACAAAAAGCAAATGCTACATTTCCTCAGGATAGTTTTTACAATTTCTATTACAGCTCTTGAGTTTTTCTTTGTGAAACCCTGAGCTACGGCT